CACGCTAGCAAGGTCCTACAAGCTAGGCTTCAGCAGTACGTGGATAGAGAATTGCCACAGGTACAAGCTGGGTTTCGAAGAGGTAGAGGAACTAGAGATCAAATTGCCAACATTTGCTGGATTATGGAGAAAGCACGGGAGTACCAGAAAAACATCTACTTCTGCTTCATTGACTATGTGGATCACAACAAACTTTGGGTGGATCACAACAAACTATGGCAAGTCCTTAAACAGATGGGAGTACCAGACCACCTCACATATCTCTTGAGAAATCTGTATAAGGGTCAAGAAGCGACAGTTAGAAACGGATATGGAACAACTGATTAGTTTAGCATAGGAAAAGGAGTACGACAAGGATGTATATTGTCACCCTGCTTATTTAATTTATATGCAGAGTACATCATACAAAATGCTGGCCTGGATGAAATACATGCCAGAATTAAGATTGCTGGGAAAAACATCAATAACCTCAGATATGCAGCCGATACCACTCTAATGGCAGAAAGTGAAGAGGACCTCAAGAGCCTCTTACTCAGAGTGAAAGAGGAGAGCGCAAAAGTTGGCTTGAAACTCAACATCACAAAACCTAAGATCATGGCATCCAACCCCATCACTCCTTGGCAAATAGAAGGGGAAGTCATGGAAGCAGTGACAGACGTCACGTTCCTGGGATCCAACATCACTGCAGATGGTGACTGCAGCCATGAAATTAAAAGGCGCCTGCTCCTTGGGAGGAAAGCGATGGCAAATGTAGACAGCATAATAAAAAGTGGAGACATCACCCTGTCAACAAAAGTCCGTATGGTAAAAGCCGTGGTATTCCCAGTAGTACTGTATGGCTGCGAGAGTTGAGCCATAAGGCAGGCCGAGCGCCGAAGAATAGATTCTTTTGAATTCTGGTGCTGGAGAAGACTCTTGAGAGTCCCTTGGACTGCAAGGAAGATTAAACCAGTCAGTCCTAAAAGAAATTAACCCTGACTGTTCTCTGGAAGGCCAAATACTGAAGCTGAAGCTGAAATACTTTGGCCACCAAATGAGAAGGGATCACTCACTGGAAAAGACCCTGATGCTGGGAAAGATTAAAGGTAAAAGAAGAAGGGGACGGCAAAGGATGAGATGGTTAGACAGTGTTACCAATGCAAAAAACATGAAGTTGAGCACACTCCAGAGGACAACAGAAGACAGGAGGGCCTGGCGTGATGTGGTCCATGGGGTCACGAAGAGTCAGGCTCGACTGTGCAACTGAACAACAACAACAAGGACCATTTTCCTTGGTCTGCAGGACTTTTTCTCCACCCAAGGACTGTGGCAAGACCTTGAGGTGCTGGCAGTGGTATTGGGCTCAGTGTGCTTTCAGTATGTATGGCCAAGTTCATCTCTTCATCCCACCCAGTCTTTTTGTTTTCCAGAACACCAGTATCTTCACAGGTAAATGTTGTGGATTTGTTGCCACTTGGGCCAAAAATGTTGCCTATCCCTGATCTAAATTCATTTTAATCTGGTATTAGTTTTGGTTTTGGAACTGCATCTACTTTAGTTGACCTGGTGGATGACTTTTGCTGGACAAGATGAGTACAACCTTGTTGATTATTTTGGACTTCCTAGAGGCTTCTATACCATTTATCATGATAGCCTTATGAGTCACTTGTTGGCATGGGAGTGGGAAGCACAGTGGTTTCACTGGTATGTCTCAGGTATTTTCTAGAAGGTTGGTATAAGAGATTTTTGCTTTGGTCTTTGACAATTTGCTGTAAGGTTTCATTGATCTCTATAATCTCCGGAACTGTTTAAAATGACATGGAGCTATTGATTGAAGTAATTTGGATGGAGCTTAGATATCATCAATATATTTATGACACTCAACTCTTTTTTTTCCTATCAAGGCCAGATGGGCATCAGTCCTAGAATGAGTATGTAACATGAGTATGTAAGACCACATGCGGCCTTGATCCGTGCCCTTCTTGGCTCATTAAAGCGGACCACGAGGGGTTTCGAGGTACCATAAGGGAGATTATCAACAAGTCCTTCCGTGAGGGGCAGTTCCCTGAGGCACTCAAGGAAGTGATGGTCCACCCTCTCTTGAAAAAAACAACCTTGGACCCAACCAAATTGGCCAACTATCGGCCGGTGTCCAACCTGCCCTATTTGAACAAATTAATTAAGAGGGCGGTGGTGATACAGCTACGGAGCTTTCTGGATGACGCTTCCATCCTAGATCCTCTCCAGTCTGGTTTTCGCCCGGGGCATGGGACGGAGACAGTGCTGGTCGCTCTTACTGACGACCTTCGGAGGCATCTGGACTGAGGTGGAGTGGCGGTATTGCTGTTGTTAGATCCGTCGGCCGCGTTTGATACGGTCGACCAGCAGCTGCTGACACACCACCTCACCAACGTGGGGGTTCAGGGGCTTGCCCTTCAATGGCTTGCCTCTTTTCTCCAGGGTCGGGGACAAAGGGTGGTTCTAAGGGAGCAGCAGTCCCGAAGACATCTGCTTGAATGTGGAGTGCCTTGGGGCGGTGCTCTCCCTGATGCTGTTTAACATCTATATGCGCCCCCTTGCCCAGATTGTCCGGAGGTATGGGCTTGGGTGTCATCAATATGCAGATGACACCCAGCTCTATCTGATGTTGGGTGGCCGGTCGGACTCCAGCCCAGAAGATCTGAACCGGGCTTTGCAAGCCGTGGCTGAGTGGCTCAGACTGAGTCAGCTGAAACTGAACCCAGCGAAGACGGAGGTCCTGTGCCTGAGTTGGGGTGGTTTGGGGTTTGGGATCCCTCTCCCGACCTTCGGTGGGGTGCCTTTGGTGCCAGCGCCGGAGGTTAGGAGTTTGGGAGTGCTCCTGGATTCCTCCCTGTGGAGGCCCAGGTAGCAGCCACTGCCAGATCGGCCTTTTACCATCTTAGGCTGTTTCAGCAGTTGGTTCCCTACCTTGACCGTGATGGCCTGGCTATAGTGATCCATGCAACGGTCACCTTGAGATTAGACTACTGTAACTCTCTCTACATGGGGCTGGCTTTGTCACAAATCCGGAAGCTGCAGCTAGTACAGAATGCTGCGGCCAGGCTGTTGGTGGGTCTCCCTAGATGGGAGCACATCCAGCTTGTGCTGAAAACACTGCACTGGCTGCCAATAGCATACCGGATTCGCTTCAAAGTGCTGGTTCTTACCTTTAAAACCCTATATGGCCAAGGTCCGACATACGTGAGGGACCGCCTTTCCCCATATATACCCCAAAGAGCATTACAGTCTGAGGCACAACATCGCTTAGTGATCCCAGGCCCTAGGGAGGCCCAGCTTGCTGCAACCAGGGCCAGGGCCTATTCAGTGGCGGCTCCTATCTTGTGGAATGAGCTCCCGGAAGACAGTTCCGCAGGACCTGTAAAACAGAGCTCTTCTGCCAGGCTTTCGACTAGGAGCCGCCACTACCACCACCAACAACGAACCCGGCTGATAACTGGGAACGGAGCAGCCCTATGACGATTGCACTTCAGTGCCGTGGCGGATCGGTACAGTTGTACCGGGATGGAGGCAACGTCTACTCAATACCATCTTGTTTAAATTTAAGAGTAACAGCATTGAGCACTTTATGTAATGTTTGGTTATTTATTCTGTTTTATCCAATTTTAATTGTTTTTATGTATTGGCACTTGGTGCCCCATTTGTTAGCCGCCCTGAGCCCATTCATGGGGAGGGCGGAGTAGAAATTTAAATAAATAAATAAAAGAATTCAATTGGCTCTAGGTTTGACTTCTGCAGCTCTAAGATTATCTGAAGTATTGTTTTCTCTGTTATGAGCTTGCTGCCTTCCACTTATCCCTGCCTGGATGGATTGAGACTGGATGGATAGCTGTCATGGAGATAATCTTTTTTGTGATTGCAACCTATTTACAGAATCCAAGAGAGATCCACATGGCACCTTCCCTGTTGTCTTTTAGATGCAGGAAAAAATCTGTTTTGTTCGCCTTGGCTTTGGGGATGTAAGGTTTTTGTTTTGTCCTTCTTTCTCTTGGCCACCCTGAAGCAAGTTATGCTGCCCGTTGTCCGATTTTTGGTTTGTGTTATATTGGTGCTTTCAGTTTTAGTGATTTTATTGTATTACTTTATCAATTGCTCTTGAGCTGCTTGGGATCCCATGGTGTGACAAAGGGAGCACAGGAAACATTTTAAAGAAATAATGGGGAGTAAGGGTGGAGAGTTTGACTATGTCCATGGTGCTGTAGTGCTCTGGTAATGGGAAAATGCTGCTCCAGATATACAACACTTCCCTTGAATAGTCCAATTGTTAATTGCTTTTACCACAGGAACAAGAGTGGCTGTTTTTAAAACTTTCATGAGACTTTTAGTATGTTAAACAACTGTTTCTGTTAATGTAGCACATATAGAAAGAACCAATTAAAACATCAGGCAGCATAAAAAGTGGATTTCCTTAAAGTATCTGGAATGACTCTCTACTCCAAAATACACAGTGGTTATACATTTACTTGAATTGATCCCCCACCCTGAGTTTTAGACACTTCATTGATATGATGTCAGATCAATAATTTTTAGTAACTCACAGTCATGAATATGATATATTAAAATATTTTCAGGTACCATGAAATATTAGTAACCAGGTAAAAACATGCTAGCATTTCCCAGATATCAACAATTTCGAATGTTTGGAATCAGCATGTTGTTCCCATGCTGGTTGGGAAATGTCTGGAAATGTGTTCAAGCTTACAAGTTTATTAAACTTTCTAGTGAAGTCACATTAAGCCAAGCCCATAATTGAAGGGAGTGATTTCCCCTAAGTAATTAAAAGGAAATTGCACCCATACCCAGAGAATCATATATTTCAAAAGCCCTCTGGGAACTTGATTACATGTATAGTGTTCTGACTTCCACATTCGCTGTTCTTAAAAGTGTATTGCCAGTTTTGCAAATTAATAGCTGTGTCACTTTTAAAATATAGTACCTCCATTTACTGAAAATGAAGTAAAAGGTATTTCCTTTTGTGCTAGGGTTTAGCAGGACCCGAAGGTAACCCAGGCCCTAAAGGTGTAAGAGTAAGTAAGCATTTTTTGAAGGATTATGATGTGCATGACTTGTATTTTTTTGCCCATTCACAGTGGGGCTGCAGACTTTTCATTCAGATTTTGCTGCTTCTGTACTTACTGGTTCATTCAGAATGCATTGGTTCATTATTCACAGACTATATTTCATTAACATGCATTGAAAGATTCACAAAAGCAGAGCCATGTTAGTCTGTTGCAATCCAGTAGCAAATAGTCTAAGGTGCCACAAGACTCTCTGCTGTTTCAGTGGCTAAGGATTTCTTTCATTGTTGTATTCATAGCCCACAAGCTATTTATACAAGTCTTCCACCTTTGCTTGAAATGTACATACACCTGGCATAATGTGAATAACATAATAATGGAAATTTTAAATATTAACTTGAAACTGTTAGAGATTTTTTTGCTAAATATTCAAATTGTTATGAGCAAAATTATGTATATTTATTGACCTACATTCTTACAGCAGCTAGAATATTGATAGCTAAATACTGGAAAGCAGAAAAAATTCCAACAAGAGAAGAATTAGTTAAGAAACTACTATAAGTGGCTGAAATGCATAAACTTAACATATTATTACAAAGAAAGGACGATAAATTATTTCAAAAAAGATGGTTTAGAGTTTATAAGTGGATTGAAGAAAAATGTAAATTATGGACTCAATAAGATAAAGTTATGTATTAATATATGTATGAACAACTTTTATATATATAAACAATAAATAAAATACAAAAAAATAATAAAAAAGAAATGTACATACACCAGTCAAAAGAGGTGTGTGAATTTGTGCAAGAAGATAAATAAATACCACAAAGATATTGTGTGCTAGAAGATGTCAATAGGAAAGGGTTAACTGGAATTCTAAACTGTTATCGAGTTAGCAAAACTATGATTTTTATCAGGTGGCACTTCTCGGATTCCATCTCTTCAGGCAGTTAAGATCTTGGGAATAGGTCTTAGCTTTCTACACTTCTGTGACTTGTCTCTCCTCTCTTTTCATTCCACATAATGATTGAACAGGGAGATGCCATATTTATTTGAATGCAAAACATTCTCTGACCCTGGCTGTTGGCCCTACTAAAAAAAGTTATGTGTGTCCTTCTACAAGTGAAGGAGTGGAATATTATATTTACAGCAACAATGTTCACAGAAATAAACAAAATCATTCATAGAAAGAAAGAAAAAAACATGGTAATCACATCAGTATTTGGCCTGTTAGATGCTAAGAAGCTTCTGCCATTTCCATATTAGATAACAAATTCATTTGTGGATTGAGAGCCACCTGCAGGGTTAATCATGTAAACTAAGTTAGGCCTTTATAGCTTCCTTTTGTCAATCCTGTTTGGTGCTAGCTCTCTAGGGTCTTTATCAGTCTTGCGTTCTGAGTTTCTTTAGGACTTAACTGGAGATACAGGGATGTACCACCACTGAGCAAAGTCTTGGTAGAATTTGCCTACAAATTTTGATTGTGGATTAATGGAACAATTTAGGGCAAAACTGGAGAAAGATGGTTCTCAATAAACATTTGCTCGTCACACTGGTTACTTCTGCACAGATGTTTTTTTCTTAGCAACTTCTATTAGATGACTATATCTTGCACACAACTGGGAATATTGTGCACCAAAAACAGAAGCTGCTTGACATACAGATTTATTACTTGTTCTAATGGCATTTTAGAAAAATATTCAGCTAAATTGAAGAAGAAAATAAGTTATCTATTTGAAGAAGAAATAATTGTTGTAGCAACTGATCTGGAGAAAAATAAAACTTATTTGTTCCTAAAAGTCACTAGTCCAGTTGTGACAAGATTTGCTTGCTGGAGTATTTCATTTTAGTAATCAGCCGTACAAATGTAAGAACGGGAAATGTAAATATTTTTTAGTGGCATGTTCAACTATGCATATTGAATCAGTAGTGTAGTGATTAGAGTGCTGGACTGTGACTGGAAAGAACTAGGTTCAAGTCTCCACTCTGTCATAAAACTCACTGAGGAGTCCTAAGAACACTTCCTTGGGAGTAAGTCCATTAAATAAAATGGGACATTTCTGATTAGATCTGCTTAGAAGTACTCCCAATAAATGTTATACCACTAGGGTTACCAGCCCTGTTTTCAGAGGGTAGAGCATGGGGGGAGTTTCAGAGGGCAGAGCATGGGGAGGAGGGAGGTCCTGATGTGGTGATATCACCATGAAGTTATGTCACTACATCAGTGACTCTTTCGGAATTCCCCATATCAGTATGGTGGGGAGCATAGAGATTGGTGAAATTCCTAAAGCATCATGAATGCGGTGGCTGAAAGTGACATAACTGTGTGCACAATATCATCCCCCCATTTTTCCACTGAGAGTGGGTGGGAGCAGGAGTTTGCTACCCATAGGATGGCAACTGTCAACCATATGTACCAATCTGAGCTCCTTAGAGAAAATTTATGATAAACATGTAATGAATAAAAACTAGAAACATGTACACAAAAGTTACTAGTGTACTTGCCCTTCCACTCACATATGTATACTGTAGAACAAAGTTTGAGTCCAGTGACACGTTTAAGACCAACAGAGTTTTATTCAAGATATAAGCTTTTGTGTGCAAGCACACTTTTTCAGATACAGTGAAGCACAATTTTCTCAACTATTACATATAGGAAGACAGAGGGTGGAGTGGGGGTTAGACTGGAATGAGAGATTTCTGAATTACAGGTTATTACAACACTCAGGACAATGGAACCCCAAGGGCTTAACAGAGATATCTCACTACACATGCTAAGTCTCACTTATACTAGTTCTCACATCTGTTGTTAATTCCTTTATTATCTATATGCCAATTTGCTGCTATTTACAAGTCTTACCAAATGTGTTATTCCAATCTTAGCTGTATTTATTGCTCAGTAACTTAGGCATCTTGACTCTAATTAGCTGTTCCTGGCAACTACTGTAATATTTGCCTATATGTAATATTTGAGGAAATCTGTAATATTTGAGGAAATCTGTAATATTTGAGGAAATCTGTTTCAGTGTATCTGAAGGAGTATGCATCTACACATGCTTGGTCTCTCAGTTCTCGCTTACACCCAAAATTGAACTCTGTTGAACTTTGTTGGTCCTGAATATGCCACTGGACTCAAAACTTTGTTCTCACAACTATTAACTCTTGTGTTTGTAAACTAATTTACTGCCATTCACAGATCTTAACAACTGCCTTAATCCTACCTCAGGTATAATCACCCAGTTACTTAAGCATCTTGATTCTAACTAGCCCATCCTAGCAATTTACCCCTCCCCCCACTCTTCCTATATGTAATGGTTGAGGAAATTCTGTTTCACTGTATCTGAAGAAGTGTGGTTGCACATGAAAGCTTATACCTTGAATAAAACTTTGTTCGTCTTAAAGGTGCCACTGGACACAAACTTTTTTATGCTGCTTCAGACCAACATGGCTACTCACCTGAATCTATATGTATACCATGGTTACTCATTTGTGATTTAAAAGTTAAAAGAGCCCAGTTATGTGATGTTTCTTTGCCTGGTTGCCAATAGGCAATTCTTAATCAATCTGGGTGACCAGACAACTGGTTGCTTATGAGAGGTGACTATATCCTTTTTGTAAAAATCAGTTATTTTCAGTTAGATTGCATTTAGATTTTGGTACTGTTCACATGAAAGTATGCAAACTGTGTGACTTTATGCTGGGAAAAGAATCTCTCCTCAGATTGTTTCTTCTGTTTATCTCTTTTAAGGGATTCATTGGACCCCCAGGAGTGGCAGGGCTGCCTGGACTTGATGGAGAACGAGTAGGTATTATAGAATATTTATGTGTGTGTTTGTGTATATACACACACACACATGTAAATAAATAAATATATCTATATATAAATATATCTATAAACCTTGTTCACATCTGCAGATATCTAAATCTGAGGATCAGGGCCACAAACTAAGCAGGTTTTTCTGCAAACTTAGGTGACACCCCCCCCCCCCCCCCCCGCGGCGCCTAAATCCAGAGGTCAGGGCCATACTTGCAATAAACAGATGTTTCTGCAAACTTGGATGCCCCCCCCCCCCCCGGTTTGCAGAAAAATCTGAAATCTTCAAAAAAATACATGAAGGGCTGGATTAAATTCTCTGTGCAATGTGTTGAAATGATTTAAGCACGTATGTATTGTCATTTCCACAAAATGCACATCCTCATTCCTTGTGCTGTTGCTTCCTGGGCAAAAAAAAAAGTAATCCATCTAATCATACTTGTTAACAACAGATCCAGCTGGCAGTTCAGTTTATGATTACAGGGCCTCTGCAAATATACTAAGCTGGAGACATATGTAGACAGAGCTGTGTCCTGCTTGCATGGTTCAGCAGTCATAGGAATCTTGATTCACAAGCCAGATCTCTTTGCAGACATGCAATTGAGGATACAAGGATCAACTGTAACAATCAGAAGTGAATTATTAACAAGACTGGCATTTCAGCCCAGGTCCTATTTTCTATTAACTTTAATGCACTGTGTTGGAAAGGGGAATTTACTCTGTAAAAGGGAGGTAAGGGGGAACTGAGAAGAGCTTTCTACTAAACTAAACTTGCTACCTAATAATGAAGGCACAAAACTCCTAGTATCAGAACCTCATAGATGCAATTCACAACTACTTTAAAACCAAGCTTTAATCATACACTAAATTAAAACTTGCTAAAAAAGTCCCTATTTTTTATTTTATTTTATTTACATTATTTATAGTTTGCCTCCCTCACTTGGACTCTAGGCGGATTACAACACAGTGAGTCAGTGCAATTAACACGATGGGGCATTAAAAAAAAATACAATAGGAATTAGGTGTGAAAAGGTGAATCTTCTCAGAAGATAATGTCATGGTTTTCCCTCACAGGTTCTCACAATCCTAATAATTGGCGCTCTAATAGGAAAACAATCCTAAATCCCATCACTGTCTTGAATGAATAAAGATGGTATAAAGAGAATATGGGACTCTGTTCCCAACAGCAAATGCTACAGGTGCAAATAACAATTGGGAGCAACAGGGCCTTTGACTCAGAATATAGTGGATAACTCCCCCAACCTACATCGAGTATAGTCCATCAAAAATGGATGTATTTTTGTAGACTCAGAAGTGTATTTGGATAGAACAGAGAGGTCCAACTGATAGTTGCATCAGTTGTCTTGAAACCTTGGGCAGGAGAACAAGCAAGTATCCAGGAGTGCTTTCTTGCTACTCATGTTGTGTCCTCCTGGCTGTTCTATTCCTGTAAAATGGGGAGAGGGAGGTATGGTGGTGGGAGGAGATTTGTTTCACGAGGGGTGACGAGATATGGAAATGCTTGGACCCCTTCTGATCTCCATCCCATCCCAAGGAATAACAGTGTGCAGGACCAGTTAATTTCCTTCTCTTCAACCTTGATGCTGTGTAATCCCAAATCAGTAAGACTACAGTTCTCCAGGAGACTATCCTAGAGGAATGCTTTGACCTGGCGTGCTTGACTGACACCTGGGTGGTTGAGAATGAGGTAGTTCCACTCACCCAGTTTGCTCCCCCAGGATACTCAATCCTCCATCAACATCAAACTGAGGGATTGGGGGTGGGTGGCGATCCTCATCCGAGTCTCTTTTTATTGAGGTTAACTGGTGTGGTTAGTCCAGTCACCATTAGTTAGCAGAGTGCTTAAATAAAGCTATAAACGCAGGAGTGTCACTTTACCAGGGTACTCATCTTACAGAGCTACACAGAGCCACATTGCAAGTATAGAAGAGAAGTACTTCTCTTTTTATTTGAGAAGTACACTTTGGATAGGAAAGAGCAGAGACTGATAGATTACTAATTTACTAGCTAAAAGATGAATGCAGATGGTGAGAGGCCCATCTGCCTCATGGTGCCAAGAGAGGACCGCATGTCCCTCTCTTGGTGCATGGAGGTAGAGAGCACGTCTTCATCCAGAGAGAGAGAGAGAGAGAGAGAGAGAGAGAGAGAGAGGAAAAGGGGAAATTGATCCCTGAGAACACAATCTGCATTTCGAAGAAGACAGTGGCAGAAGAATAGATACAGGAAGAAAGGTCACTGTGCCTGTCGAGCTATCTAGTCTCTCAGTCTGGAGGTCTGAGACAGGGGACATTGCATCTGGAACTTCCAACACTTTTCCCTTCCAGAGGATCCCTGCACCAAACCTGACCTTGAATGTGTTGGCCTGGCTTGGGGTGTCGTGGAGAGGGTGGGAGTCCTGCTGGTATACTGTTCGCTCAGCTTACTAGCAGACTCCCTTCTGAGGTTATCAGAAGCAATAGCTGAATAGACACTGCATTTTCCTAGACCGTTGGTCTTGGCAGACTTTAATGTCCATGCAGAGACTTCCTTACTTGGTGCAGCCTCAGACTTCATGGCTGCCATGGCAACATTGGGACTCTCCCAGGTTGTATTGACCCCCACTCATGAAACAGGCCACATATTAGATTTGAGCTTTTGCACATGGCTTGATCTAAATAGTGCAGTTGTTTGTGAGCGGGTGCCATGGTCAGACCACTTCCTCATAATGGTCAGTTTGGGGATGGCTAGTCCCACTTGCAGAGGCAATGAGCATATTTATGCTAACCTGCTGAGACTAATGAATCGTGATACTTTCCAAAATACTCTGCAGGATTTATCTGGACCTGCCAGTAATTCCCTCAAAGAGCTGACTGAGATTTTGAATAGAGGTCTTCAGGAAGCTATCGATCAGATTGCTTCCTGACACCCTCTGCGCCCTTGTGTCTCTGTGGCTCCTTGGTATAATGAGAGTCTAAGAGGTTTAAGAGGTTGCTCAGACAGCTACCGTGGAACTGGTGATGAACATGGGATGAGGCTGTGAGAACACACTATAGAGCCCAATTGAAGGCCTTTGTGGCAGTAAAAGTGGCAAAAAGAGATTATTTCACTGCCGCCATTGTGTCCGCTAGCTCGCAACCAGCTCAGTTATTTAGATTGGTTCAACAACTGACCACCCCTTTGGGTGATACTGATGTAGCTTTCAGCTGCAATTCATTTGCAGACTTTTTTTGCAGATAAAGGCTCTAAACTCTACTTGGAGTTGGCTGCTGAATTTGATAAGAGTAGTGGGATTGGGGCTTCACTTGCACTGTCTGGTTCTTTTTTGGACTCTTTGGACCTGCTCACCTTTACAGATGTTGACAGGATCCTGACAGCTTTGAAGCCAGCTACCTGCTCCTTAGATCCTTGTCCCTTGTGGCTGGTAAAATCATGCCATGAAATGGTAAGTGGCCCTTAGAGACAGATTATTAATTTGTCTCTCTCACAGGGCTGTTTCCCCAGCTCCCTTAAGGAGGCGATTGTTAGACCGTTGCTGAAGAAACTCTCCATAGTTAAAAAGGAGCTGGCCAATTACTGCCCAGTGTCTAATCTACATTTTCTGGGGAAGGTAATTGGGCAAGCAGTGGCCGAGCATCTCCAGATTTTCCTGGATGAGACATCCACCCTGGACTCTTCTCAATTGGGTTTCAGACCAGGCTTTGAGACAAAGACCTCACTGGTTGCTTTGGTTGATGATCTCCATTTGCAACTGGATAAATGAATGACGGCCCTGTTGATCCTTGGAGTTCTGGCCCTGCTGGTGGACTTCCTGATGGCCCCTGGGTTTTGGCTACTGTGTGACAGTGTTGGACTGGATGGGCCACTGGCCTGATCCAACATGGCTTCTCTTATGTTCTTATGTTCTTATCTATCAGTGGCCTTCAATACAGTTGACCATTTAATCCTGATTGACCAGTGGGTAAGGGGCACTGCTCTTAGTTGGTTCTCCTTGTTTCTCCAGGGACACTCTCAGAAGGTCGCTATTGGGGAGGTCTTCCCAACGAGACCTGAATTGCGGGCTCCCACAGGGTTTGATTCTTTCTCCAATATTATGTAACATATATATGCACCCTGTTGCTGAGATCATCAGGAGGTTTGGAGTTGGGCGCCATCAATATGCTGATGACACTCAGCTCTTTCTCCTGCTGGATAAGCAGCCAGTGCCTGGATGGGGTAGCCAATGGTTAAGGGGAAGCTGGCTAAAGCTGAATCCATCCAAGACAGAGGTCATGTGGCTGGGAAAGACTGAAATGCTAGCTGGAGGGTCACTCCTGAGACTTGATTATGTCCAATTGACAACTGCAGACTCTGTAAAGAGCCTTGGGGTGTGGTTGGATTCTGCACTATCATTGGATAAACAAGTGTCCATGGTAGCGCAGTCAGCATTTATTCACCTGCACTAGGCCCACCAGGTGGCTCCTTATTTGTCTGGGTCAGACCTTACCACATTGATCCATGATCTGGTCACCTCTAGATTGGACTGCTGCAGTTTGCTCTACATAGGGCCACCCCTGAAAACACTTTGGAAACTGCAGGTGGTCCAGAATGCAATTGCTAGGTTGCTGACTGGAAAATCATGGTCAGCTGATATTACTCCAATTCTGTAGCAGCTGCATTGGCTACCAATTAGTCTTACCTATGGGACCACCTCTACCATTACAACCCCCCATGCTCCCTTTGTCTAGGGGCTTCTTGCAGGTGCCTGGCCCCAGAATGGCTTGATTAGCTGTCACCAAGGGAAGGGCCTTCTCAGTTGTGGCCCCTACCCTGTTGAATGCACTCTCGGATGACTTCCATGCCCTGCCATGTGCTGCCAGACACCCATGCCCAGTTTCTGCAGGGCATGCAGACACTGAGCTGCAGATCGGAAGGTCTGTAGATCGGCAGTTCGAGACCCTAGTGCCGCGTGACAGAATGAGCTCCTGTCTCTGGCCTCAGCTCCTGCCAGTGTAGCAGTTCGAATGCAAGAAATTGCAAGTAGGTAAATAGGTACTGCTTTTGGGGGAAGGTAACAGCGTTCCATGCGCCTCGGCGTTTAGTCATGCTGGCCACATGACCATGGAAACATCTTTGGACAGCGCTGACATTTTGGCTTGAAAACGGAGATGAGCAATGCCCCCTAGAGTCGGATTCGACTAGCTTTCAAGCAAGGGAAACCTTTACCTATACCTTTGGAGGGTAACCACATGTTTGGGCCACATAGTGGTATGGCTATCCACATATTTTAATATTTTAATGTTAATATTTTATATCCTACCTATCTAGTACTGCTCATACAGCTATTGCCTTAAGCAGAAATTAGAATAGAAATTAAAATAAAAAACCTCCCTTAGTATTATTTCCCTGGAATTTAATTATTGCACCTATAAATTTTGCCACTGAAAGGATGACAAGATCATTTGTATCTGATAATAGCCATATTTGTTTTATATTTGTTATTTATTTTTATGTTGTTTTTTACCTTATTGGTTTTAATGTTGTAAGTCACCACAAGATCCTTTGTGAGTGGCGACTAAAAATCTAATAAAGAATAAATTAACAACAACAACAACAACTTCATTGAATTTAGCTACCCAAGATGTTAACCCTTAAGCATAATTTCCATGGGGGGGGGGGGACCAAGACCACTACATCTTCTCCTTCCCAACCAGCATTACCTCTTTCTTTTCAGGGTTTAGTTTCAATTTGTTAACCAATTTACCACAGCAACCAGGCAGCAATTCAGGACCTCTACGTCACCAGTGGATTTGTATAAGGATATATAGAGATGGGTATTGTCTGTATATTGATGACAGCCAACCCCCAAAATACAAATGATTTGGCCTAAGGGCTTTACATGAAGATTGAAAAACATGGGAGATAGAATTATGCCTTGTGGAACTTCACAGGATAGGTTCCACACCGATGACAGCTGGTCTGCAACAGCAACCCTTTGAGTCTGATCCGTGAGGCATAATTTGAACCCATTCAGCGCTCATCCTCTGATATCTACTTCTGTCTTTAGGCACCTCAAGAAGATGGTATGACCTACTGTATCAAAGGCTGCAGATAAGTTCTATAAGAGCAGCATGGCCTTTGTCTACAGGCAGACAGAAGTCCTCAGCTAAAGCTACCAGAGCCAGATTGAAAAGGGTCTACAGCAGATGAGCTATCCAAGAAGATTTGGAGTTGGTCCTCTACTACTCTCTCAATCACTTTGCCAATAAAGGACAGATTAAAGACAGTGTGATAATTGGCCATATAATTTTTTTCTATAGGAATGTTTTTTTAAATAGCTGACAGCTGCCTCTTTGAGTGGCTGAGGGAAGGAGCCCTGAGTTAATGACTGATTTATAATAGATACTAAGGTTTTATTGATGTGGTCCTTACATGATTTTAGCAGCCAGGATGGGCATGGATCTAGAGTACAAGTAGTGGCCTTCACTGATGCCCAGGATCTTGTCAGCATTCATCATGGAAACTGGGACAAAATGATCCTTGAAAAGACTAGAGGATATATTAGTCTCATCTTCTAGTGTGCCTATGTTACAAGTGACATCCAGATTAGAGTGTATTATGGATGTTTTTTCAGCAAAAGACTTGGCAAATGTATCACTGCTAATTGTCTTTTCCTGAAACAATAAAGGCTCAGATTTTGACATCAGCTGTTGCTGAGCTACCTTGAACAATCAGAATGGTTGTGAGCTAGCTGATGTTGTAGTAGCAAAGTAGTACAATTTCTTTGCCGCTATCACCACTGCTTCATAGGTCTTCCAATGGTCTCTATAGCTCTATAGTGTAATCTGTCAGGCTTGGTACGGGTTTGCTGCCAGCGTCATTCTACACTTCTCTCAGCCCTCTTCAGGTCATCCATTAGTTCATCTATTATGTTTGGTCTTTCCTCGGGTTGGTCTGAATATGCTCTAATTCTGATGTTTGTTTTACAAGTAGGACATTCAGTGTACCCAAACAAATTATTGAAAAACAATCAATTCACAAAACGTGTGTTATTTTAGTGCTCCTTGACAGCCTTTTATTTTCCTCGCTCCTGCTTCTGCCAGTTTGTTCTGGTGATCACTGAGGTTTTAAGCATCCACTAGGCAAATCATGTGAGTAATACAGCCAACAGGATTAAACACTGGTTTGGCAAGTGAGACTAAAAACCGTTAAGTCAAAGAAAAAGAAGGAAAATGGCATTGGAAACAGAACTATGTGACTGCATTTGCAGCCAGTGCTGAAAATACGACACAAAAAAGTAACTAGTTTTAGCTCAACTACTGGTTATCCTTCAATTTTAATTTCACTCTTATTTTCATAATGTTTTTAGGTTGTCTTCAAGACAAATTTACACATTCTGTAGATTTAGTTACTCCAAAAGACGTTGGAAAGGATTGAATGGGATTGTAAATGAAGAGCACCAAACATCATAGAAAAGAACAGCATATAATAATGTTCTAAAATTTCATTGGATACAACAGCTAAATTCTGTGATTTTTTCCATTTCAGGGTATTCTGGGTTTACCTGGAAAAAAGGGCCCAAAGGGGAGACAGGTAAAGTGTCTAATATATTTTTCACTTCATTTCTGCTAATTTAAATTGGTTGAATGTGACTTTAAGTTAAAATGCTATTTTTCTCTTTCATTTTCTTTTAATTGTAGCCTGAAAGAGTTCAGAGTAGACAGGATATGTAGGCCTGAAAAACCTGGAGGATGACAAGGAGGGGGAAAACCTAGAGAGAATAGATCTCAGCAGTTAACAAGACATTTATTGAAATGAGCCCAATGCATTTCTCTGAGGGACAGAGTCCTACTGGTGATAGTATCTCTCATGGGGAACTCTATCCTTATCACTATATGCCTATTCAGTTTCGCTTGCTCATCTTCTAACATTGTATATGCCATTAAATGCCAACAATGCCCTTCAGTTCTCTGCATAGGGCAAGATAAATGGACACAAATCTGACATCCAATCACAAAACAGAGAAACCTGTAGGAAAATATTTCAATCGCCCAGGGCACTCAATGGGGGACCTCAAAGTAGCGGTTTTACTTACTTCTGTTTTTACAATCTAAGTCACAAACAGCAAACCCTCATCCTTTGGGAGGAGAACCTAAAAGTTAGTTATCATGTAATTTAACAACAGCTGCCAAAACTTTTGCGCCGCACAGAGTGATTTATCTCTGAGTAGCCAGGATGATTTCACTTCTGGAGAAAGAGAGTTCTGATTAAATAATGGGGAGATCAATTGAGCTCTTCGTTCTGAGAATTTAGGACAATTGAAGAAGATGTGGTCAACAGAGTCAATTTTGTTGCTGCCAAAAATGCAGAGTCTATCTGAGTATGGAATTCCACTGAATCTTCCTAGTGTCACTGCTGAAGGTAGAACATTCAGGCACGCTAGCATAAAAGCCCTTCTATACTTTGGAATAGTTAACTCCGTTAATTTTTATTGGAGGGAGAATGCCAACTGAGAGGGATGAACACACTGTGTGGGCTCTCTTAATTTAAGTCCCTAAGACATCTTTTAGTGAGCTGGATCAATTCTTGACTACTTATTGTTTCCATTGTATCCTGGGTAATATCCAGCCATGATAAATTTGTGATCCAGTAGTCTATCCCAGTTACTTATGTGGTGGTCCAGCTTAACTAGTCCAAGGAAGTTTGATTCTGGATTTGATTTTAATATCCTAAATTTCAGATTAAATGTTCTTCCCCAGGCCTTTGCTTCAAAGGACTTCTCCCCAACTTTGGCTCTCAGAGCTATTCCGGAAACATGCTGAGGAACTCCTAAGATATTGTGCAGGAATATTAGTAGTGGTTTATCAATCCAGACCTGGGCAGCATATAACATTTGCCCAATGACTCTAATGGTGAATACTTTAACTGCCATAGGAACATATTGGTCCCCAGAGGAATAGTAGAACTTTGAGATTGCCTTCCCCGTATTCAATGCAGCTCTTACAATGGAGTTCAGATGCACCTTCCAAGTAAGATTTGTTTGGGAAATAATTCCTAAGTAGCTGTTTTATTGCAAAGGAATTTCAGAAACAGTCTGGAATGGGAGATTGCTGAATTACAAGTTATTGCAACACTCAGGACAATGGAACTCCCAGAGATATCAGGTTCTTATCACACTACATGTGCTAAGTCTCCCAGTTCTCACTTATACCCAGAATTAAACTTTGTTGATCCTAAAGGTGGCACTGGACTCAAACATAGTTCTCATACCTGTTGTTAACTCTTTTATTATCTGTATGCTAATTTGCTGCTATTCACAGATTTTACCAACTATGTTATTCCAGTCTCAGCTGTATTTATGCATCTTAACTCTAATTAGGCCTTCCTGACAACTAATTGTGGTAACCCTAAATGTTAAAATCTGGCTATTCCAAGCTAATTCTGGGAATTGTAACTGTACAGTTGTCTGGCATTTTGAGTGTGGAGCATTCAGACTTTCAACTGCCCATCAGCAGTACATTATTTGTGGAGTGTGTTTTACCTCTGTTGCTGCTGCAGTCCTGCCAGTGCTTAATACACTTGAGGTTGTCTCAGACGTAATGTTGATTACCTGATTTTTCCACATTTGATTATTGGATACTTGAGACTGGATTGGATGATGAGCTCATGAAACTGCCTAGAACTGAGACAGACCATTAGTATGACAAGCTAAATATTACCTACAGTAACTGGCAGTGGCTTTCCAGGGTCTCCGGCTGAGGCCTATCACAACACCTCCCACCTGATCCTTTTAACTAAAGATGCTGCTGATTGAACCTGGGATCTTCTTTTGGAGGCAGGGCAGGCAAGTTGGATAAGTGGAAAAGCAATGAAGAATTGGGAGCTCAGTTATGTATCAAAAAATTAGTCATGTTGGCAGTTTTTGAAGAACAAATATCTATTTCTGAGCTTGGTCTCACATATATAATATTAAATTAACATTAATTACAATGAATATTAAATCCAAATCCAAATTATAATGCTTTACAATCCTGTGATTCCTTACAAAACTATTGGGTTGGTTTGTATTTTTGACTAGGGTTTACCAGGTGATTTGGGAAACAGAGGCCCCCCCGGTCCTGATGGAAGTCCTGTAAGTATGTTGATATGTGTTCAGTATATCTCACTTTATAAAGGATTCGTTCATCCGTTATGGAACAAAACATGATAAGCTACAAGATGGAGGGTTTTCTGAACGACATGTGTATTTATTCAGACATGTGTGTCACTTTTGCAAGCAGCAAAAGACCAGGCTGATCCAATGGTGGTTTCTGCTAGTCCAGATAGCAGAGTGGAGACTAACAGAATTAGTGACTGGAGGCACTTGAAAAAAAAAACAGCTGTTGGTGCAAAACCAAGTACTACTTAGTAACTCTGTCTCCCAGGGTTTTTCTCTCAGTGCCCAACTTAGTGCCAGGGTGGAAGCTACGGTGTGGATAAGCCCTAAAAATTATAAAATGTTACTGTCCTCAAGAGGTTTCATTTGGTTATCATGGGCCTAACTTATCAATGTCTGAGCTGGTACTGTTCACTAGCCTACATTTACATGTGTTCATTTCAAAAGCAGTTTTAAAGGGATACTTTTTATTAGCTGAGAAGACACTTGGCTATTGGCCTTGTTCTGGTTAAGGCTTTATCCTTTTACTATTCTCATGTTTGCTTTTGGTGTTTATTTGATGGATGGTTAACATTTGCTAGTAATTTAGATTTTAAGAGACCCAGAGGAAAATAGTAGAACATTCTGATGTTTACTACAGACTCTTAGAGCTAGCTGAGTGCCTTCCCACATTCCTGGTAAATGACATTTCTTTTACTGTGGTTTCAAATATCAAAGAGCACAACCATGACAGAAACATTTCTGATATCTCATGTAAGGAAATGATGGCAGGTACCAATTGTAAGTGTCTGGACTGTTTTGAGAACAGGATTAAGATCATGTCACTTTCCCTGTCACTAGTCAATATAGTCAATTCAATTCATTGAATATACTCTGTATAGTGCATCACTTTTTTGACCACAAGAAGTATTCAGGAGGAACAGCAACAAGACAAATCAAATATTGTTTTTATACAAGTGGTAAAGATGAATAGTATGCAAATAAAATGGTATTTTTCAGGTTCGAGCATATTGAACCCGAACAATATTGGTATTTTCTGAAATTCCCGAATGCCAATACCACTATGGTATTCAGATTTGGGATTTTTCAGAAATCCTTATTTTTTTTTGTTCCATTATACCCTATTTTCGGGATTTGGGGGGCTTGGCCATTTCAGATATCTATATCCGGCTGAAAAAATACCCCAAAAATACCGATAAGCTATTTTTTAAAAAAAAATTGGCTTGGATATAGCTGAATGCAGACCCCTAGTAGGGACCTTATTGTCTGGCCAGCCACAGTTTTGTCCTCCTATAATATCAAGATTATTAAGTTTCATAGCATTTGTATGCTTTCATTTTTGTATGCCTGTGTTTGCAGGCCACATCAAGAACTTTGGGTGGCAGGAGGAGGACTTGCAAGGATTTCTCCCTTCTGCTGGCTCCCTTCCAACATCCCCAGCACTGGCTCCTCTGCTTCCCATCAGGCTTAGGCTGGTTTGGTGTAGTGGTTAAAGTGCCAGACTAGGATCTGGGCAACCCAAGTTCAAATCCCCACTTTGCCATGGAAGCTTACTGGGTGACCTTGGGCCTGTTACATACTCTCAGCCTAGTCTAACTCACAGGGCTGTTGTGAGGATAAAATGGAGGAGAGGAGAACAATGTATGCCACCCTGGGTCGCCATGGAGGAGAAAAGTGGGATGTAAATAAAAGTAAACTGGCTCTCTCACTATAATTCCCTTTGTATGCTATGCTCATCATCTCACTCATCATTGCAACTTGGTGCTGCTGGGCCCCCAAGAGGTCTGCTTGGCTACTATGAGGACCTTTTGCACCTTGGCCCCATCCTGGTGGAATGTCTTTCTAGATTTGGAGTACTGTGTACTCATTTGGAGCACTGTGTACAGTTCTGGTCACCACACCTCAGAAAGGATATTATAGCATTGGGGAAAGTGCAAAAAAGGGCAACTAGAATGATAAAAGGCTTGGAACACTTTTCCTATGGAGAAAGGTTAAAACACTTGGGGCTCTTTAGCTTGGAGAAACGACGGCTGAGGGGTGACATGATCGAGGTTTATAAGATTATGCATGGGATAGAGCAGGTTGAGAAAGAAGTACTTTTCTCCCTTTCTCACAATACAAGAACTTGTGGGCACTCAATGAAATTGCTGAGCAGTCGGGTTAGAACAGATAAAAGGAAGTACTTCTTCACCCAAAGAGTGATGAACACATGGAATTCACTGCCACAGGAGGTGGTGGCAGCTACAAGCATGGACAACTTCAAGAGGGAATTAGATAAGCATATGGAGCAGAAATCCATCAGTTGCTATTAGCCACAAGATATAGATAGGAACTCTCAGGCTGGGGCAAGTGATGCTTGGGGAGGGGGAACAGTGGGAGGGCTTTTAGTGTCCTGGCCCCACTGCTGGACCTCCTGATGGCATCTGGTATTTTTGGCCACTGACAGAGTGTTGGACTAGATGGGCCATTGGCCTGATCCAACATTTGCTTCTCTTATGTTCTTAGATGAGGTCCAAGCCCTGCAGGACCTTCTGAGCTTCTGCAGGGCTTGCAAGTTAGTCTTGTTCAGAGAGGGCTTCTCCTGATTTTGTTCTGTTGGCCCTCCTGGAACTTATCTACCCATTCACTTTTCATATTTTATTGGTTATTTATGCTTTTATTATCTTATATACTGTGTATTTTATATGCAATTGTTTTATTGTTGTAATGTACCCTGAGCTTCTGGGAAAGGGTGGAATAGAAATCTAATAAAATAAATAAATAAATACTTTTGGCCCCCTTCCCCTCTTTCTCCTGCTCCTGGCTGTAGTGGCTGCTGCTACAATATCAAACACCATTTGGGGTTGCTAGAGTGTACAAAACCCTAAATTTTAGGTTTGGATGGTCACATTTAACATTAAAAAAAATCTATATGGGGGCCAACAACTGGCTATTCATATAAATACACTGGTATATTTTATACATATTATGGATTGGCTGGTTGCACTCCGCAGAATATAGTGGTCTAGAAACAGAAATCAGGAACTTAGCCTTGATTCAGAAGCTTTAGTGGGTTACATTCCATGCAAATAGCCTTGTCTGATACCACTATTTATTATTTTATTAATATCATTCACTTTATTTGTGCCCAGTCTTTCTCTTTAGTGGGACTCACTTCCACACATGCCAAATACTGCACTTTCAATCTACTCTGAAATCACTTTAGCAATTGTTTGCAAGTGAGTTTTGCCATTTCACACAGTAAAATCCAGTTGCAAAGGGCACTGAAAGTAGATAGAAGGTGCGTTATTCAGTGTGTGTGAAAGCACATAGATCATTATCCTCTCCTTCATTTTATCCCCACAACAAGCCTGTGAGGTAGATTAGGCTGAGAGTTGCCCAGGGTCACCCAGACAAGCTTCCGTGGCTGAGTGGGGATTTGAATCTGTCTCTCCAAGATCCAGGTCTGACACTGTTAACAACTGCACCACATGACTCTCCTTATTTGTCCTTAACTATTGTTCAGAAATATACATACTATAATGTACCTTTCCCAACTCTTATTTTTCAAAGGGACTGGTTGGTGGTGTTGGCCCTCCTGGATTTCCTGGACTTAGAGTAAGTATAATTCTTGTATCCCTTTTTCAGAATGTTATTTAATCATTTATGTATGTCTGCGGGGGTACATAGCATATGTATGACAAGTTCTTCTAAGGACTGAAGGATTTTAAGGATAGTTATGTATGTATTACTTATAGTTACTTACACTCCCTGGAAAAGGAATGTTCTGTAGTTCAGCAGTGGCAATGTCCTGTGGTAGAAGATGCTTCTCCTTCAGGGATCTCAGTATGGCAGCTCTGATCCGTCACTGACTCACTGCATTTTATTTTTTATTGTGATCCCATTATTGTTATAAGGGGTGGGGCTTGTGGCAAGTTGTTGTACAATGACATCGCATGCCTGAGATTTAGTGCTGAAAATATGGTAGATTTGGAACATTCATGGGCCACATTCAGTAACAGCATAGGGAAGGCTATGGAAAGAGCTGCAAAAACACAACAGTGTAGAGCTAAAGTGCGACAACATGAAGAAAAGAATAAATGAAGTACAATCTGTGATGCCATTTGTGTATTGTAACATTTCTCATTGTCCTCAGCCTAATAGAAATCATTCAGGTAATAACCATACCCCTTTTTTGCTGAATATTTTGCCAAATGGCCTTCTGTGTTTTAGAAGGAAATTAAGTGATATTTTGTCTCTCTCTTACGTAACCTTTCCTCTGTTTAGAAATATGCTCAATTAATTTTTCATGGGTTCTAGTACTACCTGAGTGCAGCAGCACTCACAAAAGGGACTTTCCCTTCCTGCTACAGCTGTCCATACTCCCCTGCTCCAATCCTGTGGATCAGAGGACCCCCAAGAATAGCATCTAGGCAGTGCGAGTTGGCAGTAGGACAGAGGAATTAGTGAAAATCATTCTGCTGTTGAAAGTGTCTTCTATCAGTAGAAAATGTAGTTAGGATCCAAGTTCAGAAAAAGATATGTGAAAGGGGGAAGAGAAAAATAAAATTACTCCTTTCTTGTGGTTTGCATCCACTGAAGCTTAAATACAGAACAATTCGTATAAAGCTTCATAGCAGAAAGGTATATTTTTTTTAAGAGTCAGAAACAAGATATTGATGCGAAAATGTGTTGGCATTGCGAATCTGGTTTGGAGAGGTATGTGTTTGATATTTATCTGGTGAAGTGATGTGGGCTGCAGCCCTTGCTTCCTTCTATCTTGGTGAAAATGAAACATGAAAGCAAACATTTCATATGGAGTGGGAATGCTTTGGCATTTGTGGCCAGCCATCAGATTCCAGAGGGCATCCTTTGCTGTGCTCAGCATTGTGCACATGAAGGGTGCATGCACTGATTAGTGTGTGAGGCATGGCACATGAGGTGAGGTTTTCTGCAACATCATACTTTCCTGTTGCTGTAGCTCAATGCTAAATTTTTAAAAAGCTGTTTGCATTTGCAAAAGAAAGCCCTCGTGTATGTGAAAGTCCATGCATACCTATAAAATGCTTTCTAGATCAAAATCTCACCCCTTCCCATATAAATGTGAATGAAACTCTAATTCATTACAAATCAGTGGAAAAAGCTACCTTTTCCCCATAAATTTATGTTTACAGGTAAAAAAACCGGAATGGTATCTTACTCAAATGTATTGTTTCCATTTGATTTTGTAAAGTGTGTTGAGGCTTTTTCGCAATATTCCTTGTAAATTAAAACTAATCTTTTTTTAACTATGTGAATAGTGAAAGAAGTTTTTTTTAAAAAAATACCTGTATTCTTTAGTCATCGTATTACATGAGGTGCTTCTCAGTGCCATAATTTTGATTCTTTACAACATTCTTCTGTTTTACTTCCTAAAACAGAAATGTATAATGTGTGTCTCTTGGATGTTGCCAAGTAGCAAGTAGCACAACTAGAAAGTATTTCTCCCCTTTGGTGGAAATATATTTCTGTTTCATATTTGTAGAAACCCTTCATTTTCTTCCAAGCTCACATGCAAGTCTAAATCAACACACAGAACCTACATTATTTTCTCTTTCATACAGTTGGAATAGTTTCAGCTGGCTTTTAAATTAGTGCTGACTTTTGCCATAAGCGTATTTCCATAACATCAACACTGGGCTGCCTGTTTCTTAACAAAAGTACATTAAGCCATTGCCAGATCACAGCTTCCAGACTATGGCTGACATCCTAAGCATACTTGCTTCGAAGTAAGTTCCATTTAAATCAATGGTTCTTCCAATTAAGTCTGGTTAAAATTGCACACCAGTATTCTGTGGGGTTTTTTAAAAGTCTGAATTATGGGAAGAGGACCAAGGTGAACTTTGCCAAAAAAAATATGAGGCTCCTAATGGTAGCTGCTTTTTATTTGTTTGTTTCTGGAAAGCAATGAAGTGAAAGGACATTTGTGTACATTTAAATGAAAAGGGCAATTACATATTTTGCACCCAAAGCAAATTGTTCCCCATGTATATTTCAATATGATTTTGATCTCTTAATACTTGTTACCCATCTTGCAGCTGTAAATGTTGCATGGGCAGATACAAAACAGGATTTTCATTTTGTTTATTTTCTTGTCAAGTCACAGTTGACTGATGGCAGCCCCTCGTGGCGTTTTCAAGGCAAGAGACCTTCAGAGATGGTTTGCCATTGCCTGCCTCCATGTCACAACCCTGGAATCCAAATACTAGCCAGGGCTGATCCCGCTTAGCTTCCAAGATCTGATGAAATTGTGCTAGCCTGGGCTATCCAGATCAGGGCACAAAACAGGATGGCACTAATGGAAATTTGATACAGAAAGGCCTATATAAGAAGAGTGCAGGGAAAAAAAATCTCCATGTTTATCTCTGTGAGGTGTTTGATGCAAATATCTTGGTCTGTTGCTGTGAGCAGTCTGAACTCTTTTGCTCAGACAATGGACATTTCTTCCTTTGTCCGTGCTGAGATATTTTACTGCACTTGAGTTCTGAGCCTGAGTGATAATTCAGAGTTGAGCATTTAAATAAGTATATGGTATGGTTCTTTTGGAATCATCTCAATTTAAGCTGCAGGTGGAAGATTACAAGTCTCCCTTTTAACTTCCTTCATATAGAAAGTAGGACATCAAAAGCTAGAACTTGACTTCTTGTTATGTAAATTTCAGTTGTAGAGAGGTGGGGTTTTTTAACACAGGCAAGTATTTCGATCTTACTGCAGTCTGAAGTGGTACAATCCCACCAGTGGGTGATTAAACACAGACGTTTCCCCCCATTTCAGCATCCTGAGTTGTGCAATTTTGTTATTGATTCTATACAGTGCTGTCCTGTACTCGTTCATGAACCTTGTTCATGCACTGCCTGGTTTTTCCACTGAAAACTGCTTGTTTTAAAGTTATAAAAATTGAAAATTAAAAAAAGATCATCCACAACATGACATTCTTGGGCCAATGTTTTTCATGGGTCTGGAAGGGAAGGTATGCCTTGTCCTTGAATGAGAGGGAGTACCCTTTCCTGTGTATTTCCACAATGAATGTGCCCCCACTATTTATTAGTTCATGTTGTTGTTGACACAAACTCAACTGATGACTTTATTAAAAAAAACAAAAAACATTTTGTCAGGGCAATCCAATAGTGGTATTCTTCAGTAATAAATTCCAGTTTTCCGGTGCAGATTGACACACATAATGACCATGTGCAATTCTCTACAGGTGTGCACAAGTGTGGTATGCCTGTGTCTGGCACCAATCCTTCATGTCCACTTTGGTAGAATTTTAAAATTCTTTCCCACATAGATTATAGAACAGCAGAATAACAGTGTTCTGGGAACATTGTATAACTATAGTTTCAATATTGGGATTTTTCCCCCTCATGCACACAACAGTAACCCTTGAGATAAAGGAGACAGTGAGGAACAGTACTCTCTGACAGCTGGATCAAAATAAAGGAGTGGGGGGGGGTCTCTGTGTCTAAACGGGGTAGCTGTGCATCTGGCTCCTGTGCTTCATTTAACATTTTACAGTAGTGGGTAATTTTTTAAAAAATTCCCAGAACAGCACAATCTCACTATTCCAGGCACACTGGAAAACTGCAGTTTCAACATCAGGAATTTTCCCCTCTGAAACATAGCAGTAGCACTTGAGGAAAAGTTGAAAGCTTAGAGGAGGGTTTGACTATGGGTTGCACATTTACTATCTCGTATGAACGTTTGGTTAATTCCGTATCAAATACTCTAATATTTTGAAGAGTTTTATGTATAACAACGAATCAAACAATCTCCTCTACCTGCATAATTCCAGCCACTATCAACCCACCAACAACATACATGTATCTGCACCCCATCCTCAGCTATATTTATTATTTATTAACTTCATTGATATCCTGCCTTTCTCCACAATGGACCCAATACAGCTTACATCATTCTCCTCTCCCCAGTTTTATCTCCACAACAATGCTGTGAGGTAGATTAGGCTGCATGTGTGTGACTGGTCCAAGGTCACCAAGCAAACTTCCACGGCAGTGTGTGGGTTCAAACCTGGTCTCCCAGATCCCAGTGTGAAACTGTAGCCACTGCACCATACTGGCTTTCATATGGTGGCTGCTGTTGGAACAGTAGCAGGCACCTGGGCCAGTCATGCAAGTCAACTAGTGGTTATTGCCAGGCCTGGCCCGAATAGTTCCTCTCTCAAAGGCCAAAAAAGCCTGAGAAAGGGTCCTGCCCCTCCCTCAGCCTTTTACTGAGAGAAACCAAGGTTTGAAGGCTGGGCAATACTATTGTGATTGCCTAGTAACGACCATTGAGGGCATCCCTTTTTTAAAGCTACAGGCACAGTTTATATTATTTTTGGAGGGTTAACCTTCCCATTTTTAAAAAAAAAAATCAGATTTTTTTCTACAAACTGGAGGCTTTTTTCAGGTTTGTAGAAAGATCTTTCTTCTCTGTCCATGATGTCAGTTTATGGATTTAAGTATCCACAGGTGGGACCATGTTGAGAATTAGATAGATTGACGAGTAATCTGCAAGGAAATTGCAGGAGCAGCCATCCCATTCCCTGCACTTTTCTTCCTTCCCTCTCCTCCTGCAACTTCACTCACTTTCTGTCTCTATTAGTCTTCTCTCTCTCATTCTCGTTCCCCAAATCCCTGTCTTTCTCTCATTATCTTGTTATCAGTGCCTTCTGAAATACACTCACTCTCTAGTCCCCCAATGCCTCCATCTCACCCACACACACTCTGTAGTTAATCTCTCTTTCTGTATCCCTCCCCCATCTCTGTTTTTCTTTCTCTCTTTCACACACACAGTCATTAATTTCCCTTTCTTTCTCTGCTTCTAAACTGCCTTTAATTTTGCTTTGTCCTTCCCATCTCTCTCACACATATGTTAATTTCTCTCTTTCTGCATCCTTCTCATCACACACACACACACACACACACACACACACACCTTTCTTTGTTTCTCTTTCTCCTCCCCATCCCTGCTCACTGGGCCACCCATTTGCGAGCTCCTACTGTTTCTGCCTCTGCAGCTTAGCAGGGGGGGGGGAGGAGTGGGTCCCACACCTCCTTCCCTGCCCAGCTGCCTGCCCATCAGGATTGCTGCCACTGCCTCAGCCCTCTGGCTCTTCCTTCTTTGCTCTCCCCTTATGCCTACAGGAGACCCGGGTGCCGCATGATGCAGTGAGCTCCCATCTCTAGTTCCAGCTCCTGCCAACCTAGCAGTTCGAAAGCAAGAAATTGCAAGTAGATAAATAGGTACCACTTTGGTGGGAAGGTAACAGCGTTCCGTGCGCCTTGGTGATTAGTCATGCCGGCCACATGACCACGGAAACGTCTTCAGACAGCGCTGGCTCTTCAGCTTTGAAACGGAGATGAGCACTGCATCCCTAGAGTCGGATTCGACTGGCTTTCGAGCAAGGGAACCTTTATCTTTACCTATGCCTACAGTCTCCACCTGCCTAACTCAAGCAGTGGCGATAGCCTATATTTCAACTCTTCCTCCAGTTGCCTGCCCTCCCTCTGCTGCATCTGCTGTGAGTAGGGTGATGAGCCAGCTGACAGAGTTATGTTCTATGAACAAGCATGGACAGCTTTAGTATATCTGAGGGAAACTAACTCCCCCGCAACATTTTTGTTGGAAGTTTTTGGATTTTTCTGCAAACCTGGGAGGTCCTTCAAGTTTGTTGAAAAATCTTATTTCTGTGTGAATGGGCCTCATCTATGGATTTAAGTTTCTGCAGGTGGAACCCCCCCCTTTACTATTAGATATGTTCCCTCTAAGCTGTGGAGTCTTGTGAGCAAAAATTCTACTTTGTGAGCTCTGGCATTAAAGTTGTGAGTGAGTGATTTGGCTACTGCATAAATTAGTTTGCTTTGGAGTCATCCTTTCTGAGCTAAGACAAAAATGTGTGAGTCAGAGGCTAAAAAACTGTGAGCTAGCTCACACTAACTCAGCTTAGAGGGAACACTGGATATAAAATATCATTATCAGAACACCCTTTCCTGATCTACAAAAAGTATCACAGTATTATTTCTTCTGTGGTGTTCCCTTTTTAAAGCTGGTGCTAACAGCCAGGGTGATTTACTGTGTACTTCAAAGCTGGGGAAAGAAGAGAGCAGCACTATCTGTCTTAGCCATGTAATTACAGTTTAATTAGCATACCAAGAAATCAGACAGCCAACTGTCAAACAGCAAATATTCTACATTATCTTATAAAACTCCTGTATGGGCAATCACGCTATTTATTGTCCTTTTAGGGCGTTTTAGGGCCAGTGGGACCATCAGGACAACCTGGAATTCCTGGACCTCTGGTACAGTATTGTTTATTGATTTAAAATATTTATATGCCCACGTTTCTCATGATCAAGTCAGGACCCAAAGCAGGTATAATAGTAAAATAGAATACAATGACATTATAAATCACATAGTAAAATCATTAAAATTAAAAGTAAAATACTTTAAAACCACATTGGAAAAAACACTTTAAATTCACCATGTGGCTATATTCACATTGGCCAAGACCATCTCAAGAGCTCTGTGGATTATTTCTGTTGCACAGCCTCACCAAAAAGTCAGAAGGGTAGAAGCCTCCCTGATGTCTTCTGGGAAGCTGTTACAGAGGCATGGTGCAGTCACTGACAAAGCCTGAGTGTTACCCAAATAGGAAGTCTCCTAATTAGTTGAGGGAATTAGCTTTAAGGAGACAGAGCAAGAGGGGGTAACTGGTTTCTTCACCTATGTATACAGAGATTTTCCTCTTAAGAGAACTCTTGAAATAAACCAGGCAGATGTTCAACCAGCAAGGTTTTTATTAAAAGAGAATGAATAAAACAAAAATGCACACAATACACACACAAGAGAAACACAGGGAGGAGAAGGGAGAGAGATCTTAGGGAAGAGCAATAATTACCAGTCTCAAAGAAAAGGGTCCGTGGAAGCAGCAAAATGACCAGTGTTTTGTGAGAAGAGCCCAACAAAGTGGGGGTGTATGCAAAGGATTCAAGGCACACACACACACTGCACTGGTTGCTGCATGCTCTTGATACAGGGCATAATGCACCCTGGGGCAAGCTGACATATTTGCCCAAAAAACAATAACTTGATGGGCTTTTCTGAGGTGGACAAAAGGTGTGAGCAAAGCCTAATGACCCTGCAAGTACTGGATGGGCACGCTAATGGATGTGGTAAATAGAATTAAACATTGCTTAACTGTTGCTTAATTAAGTTTGAGTCCAGTGGCACCTTTAAGACCAACAAAGTTTTATTCACTGTATAAGCTTTCATGTGCAAGCACACTTGCTCAGATACAGTGGAACAGAACCTCCTCAACCATTACTCATAGGGGGTGGGGAGGTTGTTAGGAAGGGCCATTTAGAGTCAGGATGTATAAGGTGATTATAGCTAAGACTAGTTGTAAGAAACATCTGTGAATGGTAGTAAATTAGCATACAAATACAAGAGTTAACAAACAGATGTGGGAAAAAGTTTTGACTCCAATAACACCTACAAGACAAAGTTCAATTCTTGGGTACAAGCAAGAACTGAGAGACTTAGTTATGTACACCACTTCAAATTTATTGAAACAGATTTTCTCAAATATTACATATAGGTGCTAAATTATTCTGACCAATGCAGACAAATCTGGAGCTCTTCTACTTTCCAGGCAAAAAGCACGACAATACGTACTCAATTTTTTAAAGTGATTGCACGATGGTATCTAACCTCACAGAAAATACATTATGCCCTAAAAGAAGCATCTCAGCTATGCTGGAGAGGCTGCAAAGCAATAGGCACTTGCAGGCAGTGTTGGTGGGATTGTATATTTGTAAAATAATTTTGGAAATTGGTCACACATCAGATATATGAAATTATTCACTTTAGGATCCCACTAGAAATGGAAATTTTGGTATTAAATCAGTGGCATACCTGTACATGTCATCCACCTAATACTGAGCTTTTGGAAATACTTTGTGCAGCAGCCTGAGCATTGCTCGCCAAGTTCTGGAAAAGCAACAAGAGACTTACAATCTCTGATTGGCTTTTAAAACTACAAGAGTTTTGTATAATGGACAAATTATCAGACTCTGTGATACAAGGGGAAACAGATCCTTATGCATTGAAATTTGTGACTGTGTGGTTTCCTGTCTTAGAATACCTGGCATCTAAGAAACCATTTGAATCCACTAAAAAGCCATTTATGCTGTATATTAGACTTCTTACTTTCCTTTAAACTTTATTTATTTATTTTTCCTCAATACTGTTTGATTTTCATTGTATTACCTACCTATCCAAGTTACTCTTTATTTGATTGGTGTTATCTGACTCTTACCTGTATGTACTTGAATTTATTTTACAATAAAATTAATTAAAATTATATTACATATATTAAACATTATATTTCATATAGGTGGGGGGTTAGTTGCCAGGAAGAGCTAATTAGAGTCAAGACGCCTAAGTAACTGAGCAGTGAATTACAGCTAAATTTGGAATAACACATTAGGTAAGACATGTAAATAGAAGTAAGTAGTACACAAAAGCTTATACCATGAAGAAAACTTTGTTGGTTTTAAAGGTGCAACTGGACTCCAACCTTGTTCTGCTGCTTCAGACCACCATGGCTACCCCACCTGAATCTGTCACTTAATTAGGGTACATGGGTGCAGAGGAAGTAATGTTGGACATGATGAGATTAGTTTAAGGGAAAGTCAATTGGTTTTGAAAAACCCATTGTCCTACAGGTATGTATCTCTCTGGGGCATGGAGAGGACAGTAGATAGTCAACCACTCTTATTCACCTTCCAAAAATACTTGCCCAGGCTTGTTTCTGACTGGCATCCATTTTGGGTTATTCTGAGCCAGGCAGTGTCCTGCACTTATGATTTTTGAGAAGATATCTGAAGAAGGATGTTTCTGCCTTTCTATGCTATAAACTGCCCCTTTGTGAGCGGAGGGGGCTGCTAACACAGCCTAAATGTTACAGAGTGAATACAGCCAGTAGGTCCAGATGGGAACAACAAAGCTGCTGCACATGAATATATCAGGAATGGCAATCCTTAAGATATGTGGGCTTCAGGTCATAAAGGGCTTTAAAAGTGAGCACCAGCACCTTGAATTGAACCTTAAAATGTTATGTAGATTGTACACAATCATCTGCTAAATGTACTTTCTGTACCAAAGCGTGAAATGTTACATTCTCTGCTTTTTTATTTTTCTTTTGTATAGGGTCTTCCAGGGAGTATGGGGCAACCTGGATTGAAAGGTGATAAGGTGATCTAAATAGTTTCATTATCAGAGTTATTTTAACTTTGCACTTTATCAATGCAATTCTACAAATTTATTTATTTATATTTATTTATCAAATTTATACCCCACCCTCCCCACCAGAGCAGGCTCAGGGAGGCTTACAAAATTAAACACATAAATAACCATTAAAACACTCATAAAACCTTCTAAAACAATCCAGATGATGTACAGTGCTAGTGCAATTAGTCTGGCGAAGTAATGCTAATGATATTTGGCGACGTTGGCAACAGTTGATGTCCTGTCCAATTGATCTGCTCCTCATTCTGTTTCTTCTTCTGTGGCCAGCTCAGGCTGTTGATGATGACCTCGAAGGGCAGGGCTCACAATTAATTACTGGGGGGGCAGCTCCTAATTGAAGGCCTGGGGGAAGAGCTCCATCTTGCAGGCCCTGCAGAACTGCATAAAGTCCCACAGGGCCCTGATCTCTTCTGGGAGCTCATTCCACCAGTATGGAGCCGCCACCAAAAAGGCTCTGGCCCTAGTTATAGCCAGCCTGGCATCTTTAGGTCCCAGGAGGGTCAATCAATGTTGGGACCCTGACCGCAGTGCTCTCTGGGGAACGTGTGGGGAAATGCGGTTCCTCAGGTATGTCGGCCCCTGACCATTAAGGGCATTAAAGGTAAGAACCAGCACCTTGAAGCAGATTTGGTATGCTATTGGTAGCCAGTGCAATGCTTTCAGCACAGGCTGGACGTGCTCCCACATAGGGAGACTTATCAAAAGCCTGGCCGCCGCATTTTGCACTAGCTATAACTTCTGGATCTGTAACAATGGCAGCCCCATGTAGAGAGCATTACAGTAGTCTAATCTCAAGGTGACCATCGTGTGGATCACCATAGCCAAGTCATTGCGTTCAAGGAAGGGAACCTACTGCCTAATCAGCCAGAGATGATAAAAGGCTGACTTGGCAGTGGCTGCTACCTGGTCCTCCATTGTTAAGGAAGCATCCAGGAGCACTCCCAGACTCCTCACCTCTGGCTCTGGCACCAACGGCGCCCCATTGAAGGTTGGGAGTGGGATCCCTACCCTTGGCCCATCCCGGTCTAGGCACAGGACCTCTGACTTAGTCGGATTCAATTTCAGTCAGTTCAGTCTAAGCCATCCAGCCACAGCTTGTAACGCGTGGTCCAGATCTTCCGGTTTGGAGCCAGACCGGCCACCCAACAACAGATAGAGCTGGGTGTCATCAGTGTACTGATCACATCCCAGCCCTTGCCTCTGGGCAATCTGGGCAAGGGGGCACATATAGATATTAAATAGCATCGGGAAAAGCACCACCCCTTGGGGCATTCCACACTCCAGTGAGTGCCTTCAGGATAGCTGCTCCCCTAATACCACCTTTTAGCCCCAACCTTGGAGGAAGGAGGCAAGCCATTGCAAGGCAAGCCCCTGGACTCCAGTGTCGGCGAGGTGGTGGATCAGTAGCTGATGGTCAACTGTGTTGAACGCTGCCAACAGGTCCCACAACAGCATTGCTGCTCCGCCTCAATCCAGATGCCTCCGGAGGTCGTCTGTGAGGGTGACCAGTGCCGTTTCTGTCCCGTGTCCTGGGTGAAGGAATCTAAAATGAAAGCGTCATCCAAAAAGCTCTGTAACTGAGTTGCTAGAGCCCTCTCTGTTATCTTGCCCAAATAGGGCAAGTTGGAAACCGGCCAGTAATTTACCAATTCGGCTGGGTCCAAGGATGGTTTTTTCAGAAGAGGACAAACCATCGCTTCCTTGAATGCCCTAGGGAACAGTCCCCTTGACAGGGACTTATTAACAATCTCCATTATGGGACCTCGAAACCCGTCATGGCCAGTTTTAATTAGCCACGAAGGGCACGGGTCAAGGCAGCATGTGGTGGGGTGTACAGTTAGGAGCAATTTGTCGACTTTCTCCAGACTGAGCAGACTGAAATAATCCAAAACCTGACAACAAGATGTGCTTGGAGCCTTGAGTTCACTCACTGTTTCAACTGTGGCGGGAAGGTCGCGGCAGAGCGACCGGACTTTATCTGCAAAATAGCTCACAAAAGCCTCACAGCCAATGGCCAATTCCCTAGGATTTGGTCTGCCTTGTGGCAGAGCAGTAATCAACCGAATTGTTCTAAACAGTTGGGCTGGGCGTGAGCTTGCAGACGCAATCATGGCTGCGTAATGCTGTCTCTTCACAGCTTTGACTGCCATCTCATAGGATCTCATAAACGTCCTATAGGATGTTCTTGTAGCCTCGTTGCGGGCATGCCGCCACTGTCTCTCTAACCGTCTTAGCCCTCGCTTCATCAGCCGCAACTCCTAGGTATGCTAAGGTGCGAGCTTAGTGCAGGGGCGCAGAGGGTGTTGGGAAGCAATCTTGTTGATGGCTGTTGAGAGTCAGCTGTGCCAATCCTCCACAAGCTCATCTAACGAGGTGCCTGGTGGCATTGGATCCTGGAGAGCCATCTGAAGCTGCATACGGTCCATTTGACTCCACGGGTGAGCTAAAATACACTCCCTGCCCAAACAGGATCTGGGTGAAACATTCAGACAGGCCCTCAGGGCAAAGTGGTCCGACCATGGCAATGTCAGAGCAGTGATCCGGTCCACTGTAACCCCCGCTGCAAAGATCAAATCAAGCATGTGCCCAGCCCGGTGAATGGGGATCGGTTCAAATTGGGAGAGTCCTAGTATTGGTGAGTCCAGTGGACACCAGTGGACTCCACCATGGACACCACCAGGTCCGTTGCCTGAGTGGAGGCCGCATCATCGATATGGACATTGAAATCACCCAGGACTATCAGTCTAGGTGTTCCAATGCCCAGCCTGGTACGGCCTCCACCAGGGACGGCAGGCTGTTGGCTGCTGCGTTGGGCAGTCGGTACACCAGCCAAATAGCCAGACTCTCCCCGGCCTCCCACACAAGGCTAGCACACTTGATGTCCACGATCTTCGATGGCGGGAGTGCCCTGAAGGAGTAAGCCTCCCGAATGAACAGAGCCACTCGTCCCCCCGTCCCTTCATCTGCGATTGGTGAAGAACTGAAAACCCAGGAGGAGCCAACTGGGCGAGAGCTACAGTGTCCCCATCTCGCACACAGGTCTCAGTCATGCACGCCAAGTCTACATCCTGCTCAAGCAGAAAGTCCGAAGGACCATGGTCGTATTATTTATAGACCTGGCGTTACACAACGCCAGTGTCATTCATCCTAGCCCCACTGCCTACAACCTTTGGGATGGGATGGAGGCTGGAAAGGGGCCAAGCTACTCTGCTTCTCCATCCCCTTCCCTTATCTCCTTGCCTGGTCCCACCGCTATACTTCCCCCTCCCCAGGAGCACTGGGATCCCATATCCGGTCATCGCCATACCTAGCGGTCTTCACATGCCTCAGACCAGCTAGTAGAGCAAGAACAATACACACTATATTCTGTATGTATATAACAACAGTAGTGATTTACAACCCTCAGTGCTGCTAATACCTCCCCTTAACTCAAACCTATCCACCCGATAACCGAATTTCCTAATGATTGCCAATAATCTCTAAACCCCAAAGACATCTGACCAGTAAATTAAATAAAGGTCAGTGATAATAATTTTTTTCTGGTTTTTCTAATTTTCTTCTAGACATTTCTAATGATCCATTACCCAGTAAACAGTTTATAATCGATTAGGCTGGGTGGGTTACTACAGCCGAATAATTAAATCCAAATGCACTAAATCACCCAATCTAATCAGTTCATTAACTTAAATTCATTCAGCTGTTCAAATTAAATCTAATTAGCCCATAATTAATTAAATAATTAATTAAACAACTTCCAATTAAATATCCAATCAATATCTACCAATTTAATTAGGACTACTAAACAACCCTATGGGTCTCCATGAAAGTTCTTAATCATCTAGGTTTGTAAAATTGTGCTTGCCAGCCAGTAATAGTCCTATAGCGTGCCCTAGACCAGAAGCTGCTGCAGAGGGGGAGAGGTCTTGCCGTCCCTTCTTGTTGTCATGTTGAGAGTAGTGGTCTCTCGGGTTCTGGCAATATCCTGTCCTCGCTCACCACCCCTCCCTGGATTTGATCCTTCCAGCTCGTCAAGCTCTGGGAGCTGTGGTCTTATGTAAAATTCCAATATAGTTGGGATCTCCTGCTCCTGCTCTCAGTGCATAGCCGGTCATGGAGCAATGCTGCTGAAACTGCCATTGCCCAATGACTTTGGGACCGGCCGGGGAAAGCCCTAGGGGGGCGGAGACCCCCCTGGACTCCCCGACAGCTGCCTGAGCATTGGAAATGGGCACTGAGGGAGCCATGGCACATACAGCCACCACCACAGAAGACCTGCAGTCTCGGCGCCGGCCCCAAAATGGCGGCCGCGCCAGAGAAGTGAGGACAGCGGAGCCGGCAGCATCGGCCCTGCGCAGTCCAGGCCAGTCAAGAGCCCAACGCCACACCAGAAACTGTGCGGGGAACCGTACCGGAGGTCAGTGAAAGAGTGGGTCTTACCGAATTTCTCGACACCCTGGAGCTTCCTTCTAAGCTTGGGCTATTTGATGGTAGAGCGTCAGGCTGGTGATAGCTGCTGTTTTTACGGCTGGGCGCTACTAGCACCAAGCCCCCAGCAAGCCACCATCTTGTTCTTTTGTACTTTTTAAAGCATTTCAATAAGGTTCTGTGTTTATTTCAACCATAAATTTGTTTTATATAACTTCAGCTAACATATACTTCCTGCTGCTATTGGGTTAAATTCCTCAGAACTGTTCCATTTGTGATAGTGCTTTCCATCAGTGTACTCAGTCTTCCACTGATGCAAGAGTTTTGAAAGATCTCTTGAGTCAAGTGAAGGCTCCTTGTGCTGGAGGAAAGCACTACCACTAGTAGAAAGGATCCATGGGATCCAACTCTTAAATTTTACTAGGTTGAATAATGACATCAAACTTTGCAGTCTGCTTTAATAACTAGAGGTTCTAAAATTGTACTATTCCTGTGTCATAAAATACCAAATATATATTAAATTTTTCTATGTCTGTTGCAGTTTATAAACATACTACGTATAACTCTCTTGATGGGTCTGTATATTTTTAGGGTGAACAAGGCATTACAGGAGAGCCAGGGGAGCTGGGGTACCCAGGAGACAAGGTAAGAATGTCTAACAACTCTGTTTCAACAATGTTTTAGAGGACTTAATCATCTTGGAATTTAAGCTCTTCATTTGTGACTGTATTGCACAATAGCCATATTCTGTGTCATTATGCTTATTAATATCTAAGTGTAGCCACTTGCTGAAATGGCCATAATGTTTTGTGGGCCAAAATCCTGTTTTGCAAGGTGCATGGCATTGTCTTCCAGTAAAATTAACCTTCTGTTTTTTACTATCCAACCATTGCCACTTTCCATCATTGTAAAAAAAAGAGTTAGACATTAACAGTACGATCCTAAGCATGTATACTCTGAAGTAAACCCCATTTTGTTCAACAGGACTTACTCCTCAGTAAGTGTGTTTAGGATTGCAGCCTAAATATTTAAACCACACTGCCACAGGAGCCTTTGACACACAGGGTGCGTTCAGACGGGGCGTTTTAGCCGGCATAAACTGTACCGGTTGGAACCGGTGCAGTTTATGCCGGCTGAAACACGATCACACTTACCTCCCTCACAGCGAAGCCCATCGCTGTATGCCCGTTCACACTCAGCGGGCATCGGCGTTTAAAAAACAACAACAACCTGTTTGAACATGCGCATAGGCATCCATCTACAGAATGGCAAGAGGGACGGCTGGAGGCAGCTGGGACTCTGTCCGAGGGGTCCTAAAGCCCGTTCTCTCCATTTTTCTTCCAGTGCAACCACCCAAAGGAATCTCAGAGCGGCTTACAAACTCCTTTCCCTTCCCCTGGCTACAGGGTTTTCAACAGAGGGCTCTGTTACCCCCCCCCGCCCCTGCTTCTCACTGGGGCACTGGGAAGCCTCTCCTCGAGGACAAATCCGCTCGAGCCACAGCGCCGTCTCTGCCAGGCTCCCTCCCAGCCCCCGTCTCCCCACCTCGCCAACCCGCCTCCCCGTTCCCATTCGTTCAGCCTCCTCGGTCTGCCAGAGCTTCATTCCCTCGCCGGCAGCGGCAGCCGAAGGGCAGCCTCCTCCACCCGCGGGCCTCGCCCACCCCCCTTCAGGTCTGTGCCCTGCCCACGGTCCCGCCGAGGACTCCACGGGGTGGCGGGGGGGACCTTTCCCGGGAGGCAGCGGAAGCCGCAAGGCCCAGGCTGGGCCAGGTGAGACGCTGGGGCTGCCGGCGGCCAGAGTGCCGCAGATCGAGCGCCGGGGCAAGAGACCCTTTCACCCGATCGCCCAGCGGGCCCAGTGCAAAAGCGCCCTCCTCGCCAAGCCCTGCCCTGCCCTGCCGGCTCGCCCTCCTGGGCCGGCCCTGGCTGCGCGTCTCGATCCGGCCTCTTCGTTGCCGCTCTCCTTCTTTCTGTCCCCCACCCCGTCCCCGCTTTCCCTCCCTTCCCCCCTCGCGCCTCCTTCCCCTCCCACCACCTTCCCGTCCTCGTCGGGCTCCCTCCCCCCTCCCGTGCTCCCCCCTCCTCCTGCAGCCGTCTGCTCTCCGCTTTTTTCTCCCCAGGATGCTTTCTTTCTTTTTTAAACAAACGGCAGGGCGAAGCTTCGCCCAAGCGCAAATAGCGTCCTTTAAAAAAAATGGCGGCCGAAAATCGGAAGCCGTGGGCTTCCAAACGGAAGTGGCTGTGCAACGTCGGAGAGCGTTCAGAAGGCAGGGTACAGCGATTACAACTGTTGTACTCTGGATACCACCACTTGGGACCTAGTGGCAGAGTACAACGGTGTAAACGGCTTTGTAACGGTTAGGGACTGGAGGCAGATGTTCGTCATGTGAACGCCGGTAAGTACACCGGTTGGAATCGTCACCTATTCCGTTACAAATGCCGCGTCTGAACGCACCCACAGAGAAAGGTGGCAGGTGCGGGAAGTAAGAGTGAGCTTTCACTTACAATTTTCTTCATGTTATTTATGTGGTCTAAACCCCACCTACATATAGATGTGGTTTGGAGAGAATACCAACTAGAGTAGAAGCTCCTGAGAGGCCTTTTGGTATCTTCTTGATGTCATCCAATTCAAGTTTCTCCTTCTGAGCAGTGTACAAATGTGGTGAAGGGAAGGGGGTCCAAGATACTTTGTAGCATGGGACTTTC